CTCCCCCCTCTTCCCTCCCAACCTGGAGGAATGGGGAGGAGAAAAAAAGAAAGTAAAATATGTAGGTTGAGGTAAGAAGAGTTTAATAATAATAAAGAGCAGAAAGAGCTGAAGTGCTAATGGATAATATAAAGAACAAAATCAGGGATGCACAATGCAATTGCTCAGCACTCGTGGACAGGCACAACCCCATCCCTCCCTCTGGATCAGCCTTTCTGCTTATAGACTGGGCATGATGTGTGGACTATCCTTTGGCTGGTTCAGCTCACCTGTCCTGGCTCTGCTCCCTCCCCGTTTTTCTCGTGTACCTTCTCACTGGTAGAGCATAAGACACAAGAAAGAAAAATGTCCTTGCTTTAGGATAAACACAACTTAGCAGAAAGCAAACCCTCAGTGTGCTATCAGTTATCACTCTTTTATCCCTGCGAGGCTTGGCAGGCTGAAGGATGAATGCCAGCGCAGAGTTGTTGGCTCGGGACATTTTGTGAGTTATAACCCTTTGACCTGCACCAAACCCCCTGGAGCTGTGCTTTGTCCTGCTCAGCTGCAGGGACTGAGAGAGTTCTTTCTGTCTTGCTGAGCTTGGCTGCCAAACTTAAAAGTTGCTGTGCCTCTGAAGGTGTCAGACCAAAAAGCCAGTGGTGCTTTCTCTTTCTCCTTGCAGACTGAGCTCTTTGCTGCTCTGCACACCTTGCTCAGCCCCGCAGACACCTGTTCCAGCCCAGGCTGCACATCACCTTTCTTTTTTTCACCAGGTGAGTGTCTTACCACCGACCTCTGTGCAGCAGCACTCCCGCAGAGCCAGGAACGCTGTCCTTACTGCTCGCACACTGTCACCAGGTGGCACTGAATCCTTGGGAAAGAAGCAAAACGTATCCTGACTCGCTCGGAACAAAGCAAAGTGCAGCTCCCAAGTTGAAAACGTCTTGCAGCTCCTCTCCAACAAAACGTATTCACACCGCAACGAACGGCAAAGCACCTTCCCCTGCAGCCTGGATATTGCACGCAGACCATGAGGATCTGCACTTTCATTCTCTGCTGTACACACCATCCTTTCCTTTCGGTCTCACGGAGTACAAAGCCTCCAGCAACCACTCACACAGACACTGGTGCCCAGATCGAAACGATTTCTGCGTTACCCTCGCTGCCCATCAATTCACACAACACACTGGGACCCTCCCCGTGCTCTCCTCACACACCAGCTCAGGCTGGGACCGAGGAGCTGCCGATCCCCACTGCCCCAAGCCTTTATTCCCTGCTGCCTCGCAGCAGCAGCCAGTTCCTGGGAATCCTGCTCCCAATCCAGGGATGCTTGTGGTGCCTGCGGGGCTGGGCTGCTGCTGAGTCTGACCCCGTGGGGGGTTTGGGCTGGATACAGGTGCTGGGAGGGCAATTCTTGGCAGATCTGGCCAGGATCATGCTTAGTTATCCCTCACCTTCTCCTGCAGTGGCTGGGAAGAGCAGGTGTTGCTTCCTCCAAGCCTTGCAGCATCCTCTGGCCATTCCCAGCCCCAGCCCATCACTAGTTCCCCCAGGCCACGTCTCCACCTGTGAGAGCAGAGCAAGAGGCTAAATCCCCTCGCAGAGACCAGCCCTTCCCTGGGGACTGTCCACTGGCCATGGCTTGGGGCTCCCAGCCAGGTCACGTCTGCAGCATCCCATGCTGACCCCACCCCTGGGGCACTGGGTGAGGGGAGGGAGGGAGGGAGTGATCCCGTTACACCTCCTGGGCTGCTCACACCATTAATGGGAGCAGGCACAAACGTTTGCCAAAGCACCTGCTCCATGTCCCCGCCGGCGTCAGCACGGAGCGCTTGGCTGCCCCAGATCATCTTCCCAGCTGAGCCCAGCCCTCAGAGAGGGATCCAAACCCTTGGGAAGCAGCTCCTGGGCTTATCCTGGCTGCATCCCACAGTGCCAGGACCAGCCCTTGGGCTTTGCAGTGTCCCCATGGGGCTGGTGGAGGCACAGCCAGAGGTTGGCACCTATCAGCCCTCTCCTGCAGCCCCAGCTTAGCCCTGGAGGGCACAGTAAACACAAACACACATAACCAGAGGAAAGGGCTTTTCTTGTCTTTTCTCTTTAAAATACCCAGTCGAATACCTTATTAAAAATGAAAATAGTTTATTTTAACATCTATTGATTTGGCAAATACTGAAACCTGCCGTGGGTTGGGGCTGTAAATGTCTCCTGTAGCAGCTCTAGTGCTGTGTGATATTGCACTTGTGTTTCTTTCTTAAAAGTCACTCTGTGGAGGCAAGGCCCAAAGGACCCCTGGGTGATGAGCTCCAGCCCTGTCCTGTTAGCAATAAGCTTCACTCCACCCTGCAGTGATTCCATCAGGACTGGAAATTCTGTCCCTGATGTCCTTCTGAGGATGGTTGCAGCCTGGTTCTGTAACCCAGAATGTTCTTCTCTCCTGATTTGCTTTGAATAAAACCATGAACTGAAGAGCTGCACAGCCTGGAGACACTCTCTGTTCCCTGGGATCAGTGGGATGCCACCATACTGTCCCAGTGCCCCAGGACCACGAGTGGAAATGACCTGCAGAGAGATTTTGGGTGGGGATGGAGAAGTAACACAAAGTCCATGAGTCCTTTCAGGTAGCTTTTGTGTGTGTGATCCAGGGGGGGCCCAAAGTCCTCAGGGAGGCTTGTGCCAGGCTCCTGGGCTGCTCTGCTGCTGCTCGGGGATCCTGGGGTGCTGCCCATGCTGCCAGCCCGGGGATGTCTCTGGAGAGCAGGCAGGAGCAGGGGGTGCCCTCACTGGGGGCACTGGTGGGATTGGATCCCCCTGGATCCAGCGTCATCGAGCCCCTGGGCTGCCCCAGCCTCAGTCGTGCCTCTTGCCCTCCCTGGGCCTGCCCTCCTTGCCCTGGGCTGGCTCCCAGGGCTTCCTGCCCTTCTGCTGCTTCCAGTCCCTCTTCGGGCCATCCCGGCCGCCCTCGGCCCTGCCGGGACGGCCCTTCCACCCCTCCCTCCTGGACTCATCCCGCTCCCGCCGGCTCTCCTTCCTGTCCTTCCTCTCTTTCCTCTCCCGGTCCCGCTTCTTCTGGGGCTGCTGGTCCTGCTCCCTGGGAGTCCTGGGGGCTCTGCCAGGCTTGTCCCCCCGTGTCCTGTCCTTGGCTCGTGCTTCCCTTGGGCTGCTCCGCTCTGCGTGGGCGGCACGGCTCTCCCTGGTCTTCTCCTTCTTTTTTCTTCTCCTCATGGATGGCACTCCACACTCCACCTACAACACCATGGCCAGGAGTCCCTGGCCCCCTTCTTCTTCTGCTTCCTCTGCTTCTGCTGCTTCTCCTCCTCCTTCTCCTTCTTCTCTTCCTCCTCCTCCTCTTTCTCTTCTTTCTCCTCTTTCTTCTCCATCTTCTTCTCCTGGCTCTTCTTCATCTCTGCTGCAGCTGGTGGCACCTCAGGGACATCAGTGGGTTCTTCATCCTTGTCCTCATCCTCATCCTTGTCCTCATCCCCGTCCTTGTCCTTGTCCTTTGATGTCGTGCGGCCAAACCACTTCTTGAAGATCCAGGGTTCTGCCTGTGGGGGACAGAGGAGACCAGGACTCAATGACACAGCCCAACAGACCAGGACCTCTCTCTATCCCTCCCCCCAGGATGCTCCCCCCAGGAGGTGCCCTGAGGATGCTGTTTCTCCCCCCACCCTGGATCCGTACCAGGTTGGGGTCAGGATCGACGTAATCGTCATCTTCATCATCATCATCATCATCTTCATCACCATCACCATCCTCCAGCACACTGCTTTCCATTGGGGCAGGCTGGGCTGTCACCACCTCTGGGACCTCCTCCTCCTTGGGGGTGACCACTTCTGGCAGGGGAGAGGGACAGGCCTCTGTCAGCAGAGGAGGAGGCTGTTTGGGTGGGATGTCCCAGGCATGGGGTCCCAGGGTCACCCCACCCTGGGACATGGCCCTGCCTCAGGCTGGATCCAGGGGAGTGGGGCAGCATGGAGCATTGAACCCACCAGGAGGGGGAGGTGGTGGAGGGTCCTGCCAGGTGTGGGTGATCCCCTCCTTGGAGCACGGTGCTGGAAGAGAGGAGGGGAGAAAGGCAGGAGGTGGCAGCAGGGTCTGGCTACCCTGTCCCACTCTGTCTGGCTCCCAACTCACCTTGGAGCACCTGGAAGGTGACGCTGAGCAGGGCGACGACAGAGGCCACCACGATGCACTTGTTGAGGGTGAGCCCTTCCCAGAGGAGTGGCTCCTCCGTGGGATCCATGCTGGGGGGCTCCACCTTGCTCTGCACGGGGAGGCTCTTGGGCACTGGGGACCCCCAAGGAAAACAGTGTTACTGGGGGAGCTGGGAAGTGGCAAAAGGCTCTGAGCTGGGAAGGGCTCTCAACGTCCTCCTGCACAGCCCACCCTGGGCAGGGCAAGGGGATGGGCACAGAAGCTCCCTGCCCTGTTACTGCCATGTGTTTCCACTGCAGGAGTGGGGAAAAGAGTGGCATGGGGGGCTGAGTCCAGGGGTTTGAGCATGAAAAACCTCTGTCCATACTCCTGGCTCTGCTGCTTTTCCCCAGCAGCAGATCTGGGCAGGGTGGAGAGGAGAAGGAGGAAGAGAGAGAGAAGGAGGAAGAGAGGAAGAAGGAGGTGAAGGGTTTGGCAGGTGCCTGAGAAACCCCATCTCCATGTTGCTGAGCTCCCAGGGGACTGTGGAAAGCAAAGCTCATCCTGTCACAGCTCCGTGGCCAGACTGGGCTGACTGGGGACTTGGGATTGTGCCTCCGTGGCCACCTGGGGCCAGAGTGGCCATTCTGGGGCAGAAAAGGGCTTTCCCACACACCTACCTGGAGGCCCAGCAGAGCTGCCCTTGGCTCCCACCTTCTCCACCCTCTTCTTCTCCACTGCTTTCTTGTCCACGCCGAGTGTCACTGGCTCTGGCATGCTCAGCTCGGGCTTGTCCAGATCCTGCTCAGAGACACCAAGCCAGGCCCTCTCCTCCTCTAACTCCTGCAGGGAGGGGAGGGAGAGTGGCTGTGGGGTGAGAGCAGCACATGGTCCCATGGGGAACACCAAGAGCATGGCCAGGTGGGACAGGGACACGGTGCATGTCTGTGCCCCTCCCAGGGACCCTGTCCCTGTGCCACAGCCCCTGCCCATGCTCTCTGGGTCCCCAGGGCTGAGCTGATGCTGTCAGCACCCTGAGTGGCACTAACCTGGCTCGTCACCAGCTCCTCAAGCACTTCACCCTGCGTGTGTATTCACATCAGCATCCTGAAAAACACATTGGGGGGTTATTTTTTGTGTGCTCAGCTGGATTTAGCCACGAGCTGGCCCTGTGCTGCAGAGCCCCAGGGCACACAGGGGAGCTGGTGGCTGTAGATCCCTGGGCTGTGCTTGAGCAAGCTCACCCCAGGGCAGCCCTTGGGGCTGGATTTGGGCTCCAGGGCCAGTGTGCTGGGAGAAGGAGCCACGCTGGGGTCTGGGCTTGGTGCTGGGTGGGGGTTTGGTGGCTGGACTGGCTGCTGGTTTGTGTCAGCAGCACCAGATCAGTGCCATGAGGGAGAGCCAGACCAGCACGGGTCAGGGACAGCAACAGCTCAAGGACCTTTGGCTCTCCTGTGATGGATGTGCTGCAACACCCCACAGAGTCCTCCTGCATGGAATGCCACTGCAGGACAGCCCCTGGTTCAGCCCCTCTGCCCTGCCCTGGCACAGGGATCCCCCTGGCACTCCTCACCCCTGTGCTGTGCACTTACATGGGCTCCACTGCTCTCCCTGTCACTGTTGGGCTCACCAGAGTGTTGGCATCTGTTAAAGACAAGCACTTAGGTGACACAGCCCCTGGTTCAGCCCCTCTGCCCTGCCCTGGCACAGGGATCCCCCTGGCACTCCTCACCCCTGTGCTGTGCACTTACATGGGCTCCACTGCTCTCCCTGTCACTGTTGGGCTCACCAGAGTGTTGGCATCTGTTAAAGACAAGCACATTGATTAGGTGACAAAGTTGAGGGGGAATTGCCAGAGGCTGAGGGTGTGTGGACCCCCCAGTGCCACGTGCCAGCTTGCAGAGAGGGCCATGTGTCCCCTGTTGGCACTGCTGGGTCACCTGCAGAGAAAGAGGTGTCAGAAGTCAGGCCAAAAGTCCATCCAGGCATCGAGGCAGCAGCTGGTGAGGTCAGGGTGTAAGGGAGCACTGGGCAGGCCTTGGGGCTCTGAGCCCCAAAATGTTCCCACCTAGGCAAGCTGCAGTGGAGGGGACAGTGATCTCCCTGCCAAGGTGCATGGGGGGAGGAACAGTCTAGGGTGTGTGTGGGCACCCTGAAAACACATGGCTGGAGGCTGGACAGGAGAAGTTCCAGGTACTGTGGAGCAACTAGATCTCAAACAAGACCTCAAGCCACCCAAAAGGACCACAAAGCTCAGGGATGACTCTTGGGGCTTTTCCCAGCTGTGAAGTGGGGGAGAAAAGCAGAGGGACCCCAGGGCTCTGCAGCAGTTTGACCCAATGAAGGGTTGGGGAGCATCTGGGGCTCCTCAGGGTCTTGAGGGGTTCTTTGCCCCTAAATTTGGGGTGAGCTACAGGAGTGAGGAGGCACCAACACCAAAACACCATGTGGCTTAAGTCCTCTCAGCAGCCTTTGCTCCACTGGGATTGGGGTGTCAAGTCCTGCCAATCTCTCACCAGAAGTAAGAACTTTTTTCCCCCTTTGAGCTGGATTTAGTTTGTTTCCCCCCCTGTAGAACACTGAGAAAAAATTACCAGTTCCCAGGGTGAAATCTATGCCTCAATATTGGAAGCAAAACAGATAAAAGGAAACCTTTTGGCTGGGGACCTGTGGTCTGAAAGGTCTTTGCTTTCAAGAGGAAATAAAATAAGTGTTTTATTTAAGTGACAGTGAGTCTGGTCCTTTCTCTGCTGGGAAGCACAGGAGCTGGCTCAGGACTCTCATGGTGGCTCTGGGGGGTTCCCAGTCCCCAGGGAAAGCACAAAGATGGAGAATTTTCTTTAAAGAGTTTTCCTCCCAATGAAGCTCATGTTTTTGAGCTTCACAGCCATTCACACCTTGAGCACAGGTGAAGACCAGGAAGACAGAGGAGGGCACAAGTCTCCATTCCTCTTCACCCTGGCCACAGCTGATGTCCCCAAGGAGTCAGGGACACAGAGGTGCCCCTCAATGCCTGAGGTCACACTGTGATTCCACAGCAGCACAAAGAACCATCTCTGCCAGGCTGAGCCCTCTCCTGCAGCACACACCATCCCAGCACATCCCCACTGAGCCCTCAGCTGAGCTCAGTGCCCTGTCACAGGGTGTCAGGCTCTTCCCACTGCTCCATCCCTTGGGCTTCACCTGGATGCAGGAACAGCCTCCTGACCCAGGGGTAGGCAAACATCCTCCCCAGTGCCACATGCCCCAGTCCCAGAGCTGACCAGATCCATGTCCAGGTCTGTTCCCCTCCAGACAGGAGACAGGGCTCTGTGCCCTGGCAGGATGTGGATGTATTTCAGGGCTCTACAGCCCACAGAGGATCCTTGTCCCCAGCCAGGATGGGTCATGTCACCTGCAGGAACAGCCTTCCTGGGGCCAGTTCCTATCAGACCAGCTCAGCGCCGATGTTCCAAGCACACAGCCACTGCCCAGGCCAAGCAGGGCAGGGATGGCCACCAATGCCAGGGACATTTTGCCCACCCCCAGCTGCAGCTCCAGTCCTTGGCTCACACTGACCCTGCACAGGGAATCTCCCATTCTCCTGCTCAACCCCATCCATCCCCTCCCAGCGCCGCGGGTGCTCCTGCTCCTGGACACACACTCCACATGCTACTTCCACTCTTAAATGCCCAAAATTGCAGCCACTTAACAAATAATCAGCTCTGCTCTGCTGTCACTGGGACTTTTCCTACTCAAGCTCCTGAGGTTGCCTTTACCGCTGACTCACATCAAAGAACCTTCCAAAAATAGTCTCCTCTCCTGCCCTGCTCTCCCTGTGCTCACTCAGTGTTGGGATGAGCTCTGTGGCTCTGGATCCACCAGAGCCAGCAGTGAGCCAGGCACTCCCTCAGGGGCTGTGCCCATGGGCTGCCCCATGTCCAGCTGAAAGGGTTAAAAGCCATGGAAATTCATACCTGGGGTTTGACCACCGCTGTCTCCTTGCCTCCAGCCCCTGGCTGGCTCCAGCTCTCCAGGGTAATATACAGCAACAGCTGCCGAATGGTGCTGGAGCAAAATAGCACCCAATCACCAGGAGCTGGAGTGGCCAGTAAGTTCTGGGTCAGGGTAGAGGTGCTGAACCTTTCTTTGATAAGCAGTTCAGTTCATTCCTGCATCTGGTTCCCCATCAGCCCCACAAAAGGCAGCTGAGCCCCACAAAAGGCAGCTCAGCCCCTGGTATGGAACGTGGGGGCTGCTGCTGGTAAGGGGTGCAGGGGGATGTGGGTTTCAAGGGCACCTGGGATGGGGTTTGTCCCTCTGTGAGCTCCATGGAGGAGCTCTGTGAGCTGGTCTGATAGGAACTGGCCCCAGGAAGGCTGTTCCTTGACATGACATGACCCATCCTGGCTGGGGACTAGGATCCTCTGTGGGCTGTAGAGCCCTGAAATACATCCACATCCTGCCAGGGCACCCTGTCTCCTGTCTGGAGGGGAACAGAGGATGGAAAGGAGAGAAGAGCTGTTTTCCCCCCCAGCCTGGGGGCTCTGAGCCAGCTGTGGGATACAGAGATGTGGATGCTGCAGAGGCTGATCAGACACCTGCCAGGCATGGGTAAGAAAGAGAGAGGAGGAGCCATCCCTGGGACCAGCAGTGCTCAAACAATCCACAAAATGACTTTTTCCCGGTGTTTGGAGCAGATCCTTTGCTGTCCAACTCCTCTGATGTACCTGTCCTTCTGCCAGATCCCCAGGAGCCACAGCCACAGGCACCTCTTGGGGAGGTAGGAGAGGGATGTGTGGTCCTCACTGCAGCTTCCCACTCACAGGCAGGGAGGAGATGAGGCATCTCTGATCTGTGGAGCTGCAAAGGACCATTGGGCTCTGGCCCTGCCTGTGAGAGGTTACCTCAAGCTCCCAGCTCAGCATGAGCAGGAAGAGCCTTGGGCAGAAGCCCCTGTCTCAGGAATGTGCTGCAGCAGTGACTGGTACCAGTCTGGCACATCTTGGATACATCCTGCTTTGAGGACAGTGCTCTTACTGAGAGGCTTCCTGTTTAAAACCAACCTGAAACTGTGACATTTCATACCTGCAGCATTGACACTTCAGCAGAGGTGTGAAAGGGCTTTGATTGCAAGATCTAAAGGAGGAATAAATCAGGCCTAGGCATTCCAGAGGGGTCTCAGCCTTTCCCAGGGCTCTGGATATGAGGTGAGACTGGGACATGGACCATGCAGCACATGAGCTCGGGAGCAGCCCCCTGTTTCCAGGGATTTCCCATTCTTGGCAGGGACAGGACTGAGCACACTGGGAGCTCTCTGTGGGACAAATAATGTGCTGTGGAAGCTGAAGGGATGGAGGAGGGATGGAGCTGCACACAGAGCCCCCACACTGGCCAGGGCAGCTGGCACACATGCCAAGGGCAGTTTTCCCAGTTGTATTCCCACTCCAGTAAGGTGAAGGTTTTTAACTGGCAAGGTATGTTTGATTACAGACACATAATGAAAGCAGAAAATCATAAACAGGACAAACAAAAATCCCTTTTTCTCCCAGTTAACCATGTTTCCCATGGTGCTCTCAGGTTTGTTCCTTTCTCCTGCTTCCCAGGAAAGATCCTGGGGTTGAACAGGCACCGTCTGCACACACAGAGCTCAGGCAAAACATCTTCCCACTTTATCCCTATGTGGAGCCACAGCATAGAGAGCTCTCTCCTCACCCTTTCCAGGACCTTTCAACAACCACTTCCCACAGTGGGGAGGGACCAGGAGTGTTTTTGCCTCCACATGTTTAGCTCTCAGCAGTTCCCCATCGAGCTGCAAAGCCTCCACCTCCATCACACAATTTATCCCAAGCAGATGGAGGAAAGAGATTCCCAGAGGCAAATTCTTTCCTAATCCCTTGAACCCCCCCAAATCCTGGCTGCTCCCTTGCCCTGAGACTGATAAAAGTGTCTCTGGGACGGGTTAGCTCAGAGAGGGGGAAACACGATCCGGCTGCGAGGGCAGGCAGAGAGAGCAGCTGGGGGAGAGCTGGGGAGGGCAGTGGAGCAGTGTCCAGGCTAAATATTGACTCTCTGGCTTTGGCTTGATAACACAATCTACTTTCCCTGGCTTCCCAGGCTGTCTGCTCGTCTTGGATTCACATGGATGTGGCTCTCTGCAGGGTCCCAGCCACATCTAGGGCTCTGCCATGGCCTCGTGGATCGTGGTCCGGGTGGGCTGAGCTGTGCTGCAGCATCCCCTGCTTCCATGGCAACGCTCATTCATCCTCCCACCAGGACATCATCCTCTTTCTCCCCGTTTTTAATAACTTGCAGTTCTAAAGGCAATCAGAAAGGCATAAAATTAGTCACCGATTATTTTCGGCACAGGTTAGTTCTGGGGATGAATTTTCCTTCTCTCCATGCAATTCCTCATTTCCCCAAAGCTCCTACTGCTCCAGCAGCCCCAGCCCAGGTCTATGTCCTCCTGCCACAGGGATGAGGAGCAGCAGATGCTTGTGCTGGTTGCTCAGATGGGTTTCCCATTGCTCACTGGGCTGGCTGCAGGTCTTCCCTCTGGATTTCATCCCTGACTCCACCAAAACCTGCCTGACCAGGTTCCTAAGGCTTGGAAATCCAAAACACCTTCCAGACCTTGAAACATTTATCCTCCAATCCTTCATGTGGGCAGGGTTGGGCTCTGGGCCTGATTTTAGAGACAGGAATTTGGATATTGAATGCTAACCCAGATCCTCTGGGCAGAGCTGAGCTCTGCTGGTCAGTCCCAGATCCAGCAAAGGCCCTGCCATCCCCATGTTGGCATTGTCCCTGTTGTGGGTACCACT